ATAATAATATACATAAAGCAACAGGAAAATGGAGAAAATTTATTAAGAGAAAGTTCACTATTCGTACACATACACAGACATAATTAGTGTTTTCAAATCAAGGTAAAAGACACGGAAAGAGAACGCAGCTATAATAAATGCAAATGGAAAACCTCAAGGAAAGAGACCACATGGAAGACCTGGGCGTAGATGGAAGAAAAAAATATTAAATTTGGAACTTTCCTCTCACCGCAATAGTACAGCCACGTTTTGTGTTGTTTTGACGACAAAGTGTCAATGTACGAAAGTCTGTAATGACATGATGTGTATACAAAGTTTCGTAAAAATGATCCGGTTAGTGTGTACAGGCCTGATATTAAAGTGTGTGGTTGATCAGAGGACACAAACTCTAAAAGAGAGGGACATGGTCCTTCCGAACTCAAAAATTGCATCATTCGGTTGATCAGCGATGTTTAAGAAATTCAATCGTTCCTTATTTCGTGAATAAGATGAAACTCTTAAATACTCTGTCGCCTTAATGTTGAGTTTCTGAATCTTGAGAGAAATGGTACACACAGCTGCCACTGTGATACAAAGAAACGTTCGCGACAAAGGTGTGTTTCTTTTCGGGAATATTCGACGGCGCGTAAAAAATATCTTTAGTATAGAGAGCGCATTTGCTGAAGGCATGCTTCTTCGCGCAAAGATTTGGCGAGGTTTATAATTAATGGCTAGCTTGTAGGTGGCAAGTGCATGGCCATCAATCATCACAGCGCCATCTTGAGTAGGGCAAAGTTAGGAAGAAAGAGGAGAGGGCAAAGGCATTTTCATGAAACATTCATTAGGCCCTTGTAACAGGGAAATGCACGTGTACAGTACAACGACGTCCTATGTAACACGCGTCGCGGCGCAGAGGCCGGAACGTACTATTCGTCTGGATACCACAGACTGGTATGCGCCTGATGCCTTCTTAAAACTGGCCACGACCACTTATTTCCATGTCCATAGCGATTTTGAAGATCGGAGTTATGTAAGCCGTTCCATTTCTCTGTTGGGTTCAAATAGGCTACCCCCCTTCTTTCTTTTGACATTACCCCCCACCCCCCGTTTCGAGATTTGAAACGGCTTCCCACGAGAGTGAAAGAGACTGGGTAACTTTTGCTATCTGTTCGGACCTAACTTTGCGAAGTCTTAAAACATCTAAGAAACCACATTAAACTAGATTCTGCTATGATAAAGTTGCGTCATTTTGTGATAAATATATATTTGTTTAAATTTGTCAGTCTAATCACAAAAGTTCCTATTAAATATTAAAATATTACTATAATTAACATTTAAATATTTAAAATATATTAAATGATGATCTCTATCGAAATGTTGTTTTTCAGATTTCAAATGATGTTTTCTTCTAGATTTATTGTATTTTTAATATCGTATTCGAAGTTGTTCAGTATGTACGTCGTGCTTAACATGATTTGTGTGGGTGGACATTTGTTGTTGTTTTAGTATCCTGTAAAGTAAATAATATAAATACAGAAATGAAGTTGTGGAGGAGTTACGTCCATCTGGAAGTATTGCCGTGTTTGAATTCTGCGAACATCTACTAGAGCATTAGTGGTTATATTCACACTCAGAGGTTGACGCGTTCTGTGACTGGTAAGAGAAGATTTGTTCCTACTAACACATCTAGTTTCCCCGATAGTCATGAGAGTGACTTAACACTGTTCCAGACCTGATAAACTTCTTCGCATCTCTAGTCTCCGGTCATTTCATCCCGATAACATCCAAGTATTCTCCCTCCCAAGCACCTTGTTCACAAACACCCTCATCTGTGTTCTTCCTTTAACGCGAAAGACCAGGTTTCACACCCACACAAAGAACATGTAAAATTATAGTTTTATATATTTTAATCTTTACAAGAAATAAAAGATTCTGATCTCCATGGTAGCAAGTATTCTTCGAAGATGATTGTTTTCTGGGTTGTTGCGCCCTGAAGATGGAGTCAGCAATGTCTGGACTCACCGCCATGAAAACCTCAAATCCTACAAAGTATTCCTCGAATTCAGCATGTTCTTAATTTCCTCACGAATGTAATTCTGATCTGTTAACATCGTTCTCAAAACAATTTAAATTTAGCAATCTTCAAAGGATTTATTAGCAACATTTACGTAATGATTCTGTAAAACAGGGAATCTTACAGATTACAGGACAACCAAAGATAACATTAGCTCTTCATTTTCTTACTGGTGCTGGAGGCAGTCTGTTGCAAAAATTGATTAAACTCTCTATCAAAGTGGGCAGTGGTACTCCTTGGATGGGAGATCAGACCATCGGAAGATCTCTACTGAAAACGTAAGGATGCGAACACGACGTCCAAATACATCAAACGGTATTGAAATCCGCGATTCTACTGTTCAAAGATTGTATTACGTTCGCGTTTGACATTTCATGGCCACAGACTGACTATTTTAACAACTATTTCTCAACTACACCGTCAAATAGTACGATTTCTGTGAATTATAAAACAGAGATGATGCGGATGTGACCTATTTAAGGCTCTATTATAATATCTGGACGTATAAATTCAGGAAAACCACGAAAATCCTATTAATACGGGTCCCCGGGTCGATGTTCTGACGCTGGACTTCCGATTACGTAGCACAAATCTCGGCAAATGGAACCTTTACTGTGCAGATCTACAGAAAAATAAGCCACTAAACAGAAAGGATGTGAACTACAGATCGTCCACACTTAGCACTGTGATGCACGATAAGACGTGCGCCTCTCCTTAAGTTAACACTGCTATGACAATATAATATATGCAAATCCTTGAACGACAATTAAGAAGGCGGTGGTGGTTGTTAAAACTGATTTTACGCTTCAGTAAATTTCATGTTCAGATTTAGCAATTCTGTCCCACACGTTGCCTGCATCCCTCGGCTGTTTTTAATCGTGTTGACAAGTAGAAGGTTGAGGGAGGGGTTAGAAATATTTAATGGTTCCTGGGGTAGAAAAGAGGGGATGTAACGTCTTATTTTCTAGACCTCGCTCATCTCTTGGGAGTTTCCTTCTGTCTTTGTTACGATCATCAGGCAGATTAATTCATTTGTGTAAGGTTGGCAATGTTCGTGTCAAGAAAGAGTCGAGGGCTAATAACATAAGATGACGAAAGACGAACACGGCATTTCCATTCGATGCAGAAAACACGAAGCCTACTTTGATTACACAAAAAGGCAGACTGAATTACAAATCAGCAGTAACCACGAATATTTCAATATCAGCTCGTGTCACCAGAAGAGCTAGGACATGTCTAACATGAAATCCGGCTAAAATTTGCGATATCTGAGCACGTTCCTCGTTATAATTCGACCCCCGTTATCAAGTTACATTTCGAGATGAGGGTGTTCGACCCCCGTCCACTGTTATCATTTCTGTGCCATTATCAAGTTACATTTCGAGATGAGGGTACTATTTAATTGCCGGTATTTATCTTTCAATTACTGTAGCAAATTTCATGAAAATCCGTCAAGTGCCCCCCCCAAAAAAATTTATGTTTTTAAAGTGTCATCAATTTCAATTCAGAACGGCGGAAGAAATCAACGAACATACATCAGAAGTACAACTGGTAGGTCGTTAATCAATGCTACATCAACCACTCAGTTTATGTGAATCAGTAACACCGATAATTAGTTAATAATTACAAGATTTTCTCCACAAATACACGTGAACCTGGATCACATTTTTTTAAAGTCATAAAGTTAACTCGAGATGGGCTGGGCATGTAGCGCGCATGGATGGGACAAGAGTGTGCACCGGGTATTGGTTGGGAAGCCTGAGGGGAAGACACCGCTCGGGAGACCTAGACGTAGATGGGAGGATAATCTCAGGCGGGATCTATGGCAGATAGAGTTGAAGGAGACTGGATTTTGTTGGTCCGGTGGAGGGCTTTGGTTAATTCGGTGATGAACCTTCGGGTTTCATAAGCCATCTGGTTGGTTGGGTCCACTATTTGGGAAGCCTGAGGGGAAGAGACCTCTGGGGAGACCTAGACGTAGATGGGAGGATAATCTCAGGCGGGATCTATGGGAGATAGGAGTTGAAGGAGACTGGATTTTGTTGGCCCAGGACAGGGTCCGGTGGAGGGCTTTGGTTAATTCGGTGATGAACCTTCGAATTCCGTAAGCCATCTGGTTGGTTAACTCGTCTAAGTGGATGACGTTAGAGAAACAAAAATTACATAATAAGGAACTTGACAGACGTATTCATGGCTACACCACAACGTCTGTGGTCAACGCAGCAACAGAAGTGGCCAATCCGACAGTGATTCAATTATGAACACGTGCGCCACTCACTTGTCGTCACGATGTGGGACAAATGAGAGTTTTTGTGGGGCTTCAACGCGCCACTCGTTTATTACGTCCTGAAGAATGGAGAGAACAAGCCGAGGGAGATGGTGGCCGTAACGGATGTCTGTCTCGTACTTGAGCTGCTGAGACCTGCAGGTGGTTCGTGACAGCGCGGAGGCTAATCGGCCACCCACCTTCACAAGACGTTCATGCGAGCAAACAAGCCTGCAGTGGCCGCGGGTAGCTTCAACTGAAAAACTGTACACACATCTTTTTTGCCTATTACGATGCATAATTTCCGCAGTTATAGACTTCAGCTACTTAAGAAAATCTGACATAACGTCGAAGCTTTTACCTTCGCCATGTTTTTAATTCTCATCTAGAAACAAAAACAGCATAAAACAGATTACAGTCTTTTTTGATTATTATTACGGTGGTTCAGAGGGATGGAACATGTAGCGTGCATACAAAATTTTTGTTGGGAGGCCACAAAGGAAGAGACCACTCGGAAGACAGGCGCAGATGGGAGGATGCCACTTTACTTACAGAGACAGCGTGGTATCCGCTGGATTGGAAGCCAGAACAGTCCCAGAAATTGTGTGGCTGAGGGAGGGAGAAATGATTTAGTTACAATGTGTCACCTTCTCCACATCGGCCCTCAGGTGTGAAACTCACCACGTGGGAGCTGCAGGTAGCCTCCTCTTCCTCTCCCGGTCGGGGGCCCCGCTAAGGGCTAGTGCACCCAGGAGGGCCCTGTTGAAACAGTGGTGGAGTAGGGTGTGGCTGGTTGTTGGGGCACGACGCCCTGCTGTAGTTCCTGGGCGCCTGGCGCTACCTGGTGTCCCCCTGGATGGTGGTGATGGTAATGCTGAGAGAAGTTGAAGTCCAGGCTTCCATCCATGCTCAGCTCATGTTTGATCACCTCTTCCACATTGCAGTCAAACCCTCCCTGCAGTGTTTCGATGTTCAGGTTCAGGTCATCCAGAAGGGCGTTGTTGTTCAGAGCGCCCATCAGCTGCCCCATCATGGTGGACGGGGTAGGGGTGCCGGGACGGCTGTCGGTGTCATGTGACGGCAAGGCACGAGGGGGGCCGAACTGAGCGCCCTGAGGGACGGGCTGACCCCTTAGGGGGTCGGGAGAGGGCTCGGACTGTGGGTAGGACGGGGAGTGCTGTAGATGGCAGGAACAAGACTGCATCCTGTGCAAGTGGCACTGGGACAGCCCGTACGGGGAAGCTGCGTGCAACTGCTGACGAGCCCCGAAATCATAGGGAGGTGGTGGGGGTGGCGGCTGTTGGCCATTGACGCCACCGTTACCGCCCCCGTAGCCCTGCAGGAACTCACCTCCCTGGTGCAGTTTCATACCCTCAGCCAGATTGCCTGCAAGCTGCTCCGGGCCGAAACCTGAAACGGTGCGTTTACACGTATTAAAATAAGAACCAAACAACTCTTCAGTTTTCGACTTGAAACTTTCTTTTCCGCAACGAATCGCTCACAAGACAGGAAATCTTAACTTGAACCCAACACATTTTTTCAAGATTTCTTAATTTCCGAATCACGAAACAAGACATACAGACCTAATTCGTTTATAACGTCGCCATACGAACTCTACGTCTCAGGTATCAGTTAAACGATGGCGTAGGCATCGGTAACCGCCGGAACTCTGTACGGCGACTGAAAACCCGACGTTCTGTGTTCGATTTCTGGCAGGGAAGGAATTCTCTTTCCGACCGACCGCCCCCCCCCCTACCCGAAGTGCTCTCGGGCCAACCCACTCCGTTTCAAATGCATACCGGGGGCTTTGACGCTAAAAGGAAAATAGACCACAGCAGTAGTGCCAAGGTTAGAATACGTAAATATGCAATCTCCACGCTACTTACACGATTTAATGACGTGGTACTTAAATGCAGAGCGTTTTACCCGGTACATAATTTTTGAAATTTAATGGTGAATTAAACAGGCAACAGTCAAATAATAAGTGTGGCAACAGTAGTACAGTACAGAACGTGGGGCTGACTGAATCGAATTCGGGATATCCAGGGTTCAAATCTCGAACCGAAGACCAAGTATCCTGACTGAGATTTTTGAGGTTTTCCTCAGTCCATCCAGGCAACTGCCGGGATTACCTTACGTCCTTTCAAATTCATTATTCATTAAAAAATTATGGTTTGACGCTATACAGTCTATGTTACTGAAAAAAGTTGTAAAAAAAGTCACAATAAATAAAAAAACAATAGAAAGTAGTAATCTCTACCTCGTCTCAGCACAAAGGAGCCATTCGATTCTGTAATCAGAATGAATGATACAAAATGCACAGTCACCTCGTAACAAACTAATGAAGACTTTCGTTGAAATCAGCTGTCGTACCAGGGGGCAGTTATTTTGATTTTAGCAAGTTAATGAAAACATTTCAGACGGGTATACATAACAGTGGGCATCGTTGTAAACAAACACACTGATTGTGTATCGAAAGAACAAACAAATAAACACGAGCAATAACAAAATCTAAATTTTAATTCGCCTCAGGTGATTACAGAATTATCATTTCGAACGAACGTCGAGTCAAGCCTCTGGGAACTTTAAAATGATCGAACTACTTTGCACGAGACTTAAAACACTCCGCAAAAATTAAAATGTGCTCTTGTGGTATATAAACACTTAAATCCGATTTCAATCTCTCCCAAACACATACAACAACTAAGAACCCTGAAGCATAAGTTCACATAAATAATATATAAAAATTACCTACCTCGACGAAAACACGTGGCTCTTGCATTACAAAGACTAAATAGTTAATTATCTTACGGAAAAAGTCACTGTATATTCTCAGAATCACGTGAAACCAACATATATATTCTGTGGGTAAAACACGTTATGGCTGTTTATTCTCAGAATCACGTGAAACCAACAAATATATTCTGTGGGTAAAACACGTTATGATTTCGAAGTAGGTGGTGCTACTAGTTTTCTAAAGAGTTTTCTTTTCTCTTAAATTTGCTTTCATACACCATTTTTTCCATGTAAACACAAAACATCTAGCGGAGTGAGGTACTGGTGATCGCAGTGGCCAATTCTGCGTATCACCACGACCAATCCACAGGTAATCGGAGTGAAGTACTGGTGACCGCAGTGGCCAATTCTACGTATCACCACGACCAATCCACAGGTAAGGGAACTTCTCGATCATACATACTCCGTCACGTGCCGCCTGAAATGTGGGGTACTCCGTCACGCTGGAAATATATCGATAATCGAGTTTTGTATCGTTCAGTCCGTCTTTAAGTTCTGTAACCGCTGACAACTGGACCTGTGTTCATAATACATTTCTGATTGGGAATTGCCTCAGGATTAATATTACGAAATACTCACAAAACGTCGCGGGAAATCCAGAATTCCTAAATGGATAGTCTGATTTAAACCTGAAAGAAAGTGTTGAAAGACGACGGAGAGACTGAAAGACAAATATTATATTCCTGATGAATGAAGTACAATTAGAAGATACAAAATAAATCAAGACGGTCTAGTCAACTACAACTCTACTGTACTACAAGCAGCTAATTTCAAGGACGATCGTCGATTTTAAAACAAAGAGGGCAAGACCATAAAGGGAAGGAAACCCCACCTGACGCTGTGGAGTACGTTGCCCACTCCGAGTCGACGGGGAGTGAATGAAAGGGCGACATCCGGCCACAAGACGAGGCGTTGGACGAGGCTCTGGGCCTGAAGTCGGGACTCAGTTGGAAGCTGGCGGTCGCGACGGCAGGGGACCCAGGGAACATGTCCAGGCCCTCCGAGATCGAGGAACTGGGGCTGGGAGTTGCGTCGGTCGCCGCTTGAAGGCCGTTTCGAAGGGCCTCCACTTTCTTCTTCACGCGGCCTCGACGCTTCTCGAACTTGGAGGTTTCCATGGAGGTGGCACGGCGTCGGGCGCTTTTACCCGGCTTGGCGTCCGGGTTGATCATCCACCAGGACGACTTACCGGTACCCTCATTCTGCACGCGCATGAAGCGGTTGTGGAGAGAGAGGTTGTGGCGAATCGAGTTCTGCAACAAAATGACAAGCCTGGTTTAACTTAACTGAAGTTTTACGACGGTTTCTCAACTGCACACGTTGCATAGTGTTGTACTCCAGGTTATGAATTGGAAAGTAAGTTGTCGTGGCCGATTATTCTCGAAGGAACTTCCACAATGTAAAGTAAATGTTAACCACTACACAACGACGTACACTGTTGTTTAGTGGGATGTTCTCTGAAATCCATGGAATAGAATCCTTCTTGAGAAGCTGATAGTTGCTCAGCTAGCAAAGAACCCAAAGTTTCTAAACCATGTTCACAAAAGCCTGCCACTTACCCCTACCACAAACAAGATGGATCCATTCCACAACCTAACACGATATATTCCTGTAACCACTTCATTCACTAATCTTCTAATAGTAAAATATGAAAATAAATAAAATACTTTCTATCTTGTGGAAGAACAAATTCTTTCCCTTCGATGCAAGGAATCTAATGTAAGAGATCGAAATGGGCGAGTACATTATTAAGTAAAGTTCAAAATTTTGTGACTTGGTTAAATCCTTTCCGGTCAATCTGCAATTACATCATGTCTGTCTGGCTAAGATTATCATATAGTAGGGTTTAAAATATGGAGTGAACGAGAACACTGCTGTCTACCGGCATTTTTCGAAACTTCTTTCCCTTACACACGTATAATTAAACAAGTTAACCCCCTCAATTCTCCAGGGCCATTATATAATTATCCCCTCTCTATCCCAGTAATAAGTGCACCGCTATTACAAATCTCTCCTCCGAACCACCGTTGCCCTTTCAACGGGCAGGA